TGTGAAGAGACCACCAACAGGCTTTGTGTGAGCAATAAAGCTTTTTAATCACCTGGGTGCAGGTGGGTTGAGTCTGAAGAGTCAGCAAAGGGAGTTAGGAGTGGGGCAGTTTTATAGGATTTGGGTAGCTTGGGCTCAGAGGTCTGACAAGGCCCAAGTTACAACAGTGCCTTTCAGCTACTAATACTCCATTACAGACAAAGGAGGCAGCCCTGAGCTTACAAAATGAGGGGCTTATATGGGGGAGAGAAACCCTGGGGTTGTTTGTTGGTTAACTCTGCCACATATCACCCTGTGGAGTTTATGGTACCGGAGGGTGTAGGTAAAGTTTGTCTATGCATGACCTCCCGCTGTGTGGTCCGGATGGTTTGTAATTGGGGTTTGCTTTATAGCAGTAAGGCCTGATAGGTAAAGTCTGCTGGCTTCACCATGGTGCCTAGATAAGGGCTTAGAAATGTAAAAAGGCTTGGGGGAAGGGGAGTGGTGTTGGCGATACCAAGAATCTCTTTTGAGGGTGGTTTGTCTCTAACATTCCAGCCTTTTAATAGGTAATGGAGAGGGACAGCATTGTCGTTTGGCTACTTCCTACTGGGAAGGGGCGACAGTTATGGGGGGAGGCTGGACGGTAGGGACTGCTGTTCTTGGAGCTATTGGTATTCCTGGAGCAGCATCATATTTTGTGTTGTCCAGTGGGTGAAGGCTCTGATATGGTCCTGTAAAAACTGGATTAGAAGGCATAGGAGACATGAGCCGAATGCTAGAAAGAGAAGAACGATTATGGCAGGGCCTAGGAGGGGCATTAGCCATGGAAACCAGGTACTAAAGGACCAGGAGGGCCACGCTGGCCATCGGGGGACATTTTTCTTAATTTTTTTGTTCAGTTCGTTAGTCTTTTTACAGCATCTTGTACTAAGCCAGATTGGTTAAGATAAAAGCAACACTGTTTATCTAGAAAAAGGCAGAGTCCTCCTTTTTTGGCTGTGAGTAGGTTTAAGCCTCTGCGGTTTTGAAGAACTACTGCTGCTAAAGAATCTATTTGCGATTGGAAAGTTGTAATGGATTTAGCTATGTCTGCCAAGCTATTTGTGAGGTCTTTGGAGAGGGATTGGTAATAGGAAACGGAGGTGGCTAATCTCGCAATCGCAGTTCCAACTTCTGTAATTATTCCGAGGGCTACTAACAGAGGTATGAGTTGTATAGCATAGCGGTGTCGGATAGGGGTATCAACTGGGATTGGTAGGGGCTGGTCTCCTAGGGCAATGATGATTTTTGGACTGAGGAAAACCAGGGTGCAGGTGCCTCTCCAGTTAGAGGGGAGGCAAATATAAGTTGAGGTACCACAGAGGAAAAGTATGCCTTGGCTTGGTAGAGAGAACTTGTTGTGTATGCTGAAAAGATATGCTATTTTGTTATTTTCTTTCTTTTTTTTTTTTTTTTTGAGACAGAGTCTCGCTCT